GAAATCTCATATCAGATATGTTCAGAACAAAATGGCAAAAAATATATTGATATTGGCAAGGGTTAGATATATGTTGGACGGGAAAGCACTACGCATTTTGTATTCTTCATTGATTTTACCATTGGGAAATACATACAAAAGCTCACTTCAACCATTGTATATATTACAAAAAAGAGCGATAAGAATTGTGCATAAAATGGGGTATAGGGATCACACCAATGGAGCTTTCATACAGTCTAAATTGTTAAAATTTTTTGATTTAGTGGGATATAAGACTGCTGTGTTTTTGTATAAAGCCAGGAACAATTTATTAACTGGTGGAATTCAAAAACTATTTAGTGAAAGGGAAGGGGGATACAATTTAAGGGGTCAGTTAAATTTAAAAATTCATGCTATACGTACAACCAAAAAAGATTCTGTATTTCTATAAGTGGGGTAAAACTATGGAATAATTTAAGTGTGGACATAAAAAATAGTAATAGAATTGATGAGTTTAAACATAAATATAAAGGTATGTGTCAATCAAGATATATGCAAGAACAGGCTTAATGATTAATTAGATGGAACATTGTGGGTGTGGTGTATGAATGTTAACACTTTGTAATAATTCTTTAGTATATTACTTGTGTGGTGTAGAAGAGAATTATTTACTGCTTGCAAACCAATGATGGTAAGATGATGTCATGGGGTAGGACTGGATAAGTCTGACTTCTTCCTACTCCATTCAAGCATGTACTAGGTATAAGCAAATTGATATTGGATTAGCATTTGTTGGATATGTGTAAAATTATGTGTGTTGACATAGCAACTGTCTTTACATGCTTGAAAGAATAAATCAAATCAAATCAAATCAAGGGAACTTAGACGTTTTGGAGTCTCATGAAATTAATGAATGATTTAAGGCCAAGCCAAGCTATCCCATCAGTCAACCTGCACAGTTGGGCTGTTTCTCAGTAGTTTCATTAGATTAGATTAGATTCAACTTTATTGTCATTACCCATGTACAAGTACAAGGCAACGAAATGCAGTTTAGCATCTGACCAGAAGTGCAATAACAGCAGTGAAGAGTGCGCAGTATCTACAATATGAACAGTCAAAACTAATTTACCAATGGATATGTACGACTGATATTTCCAGTAGGATATGTAGGCTAATGTACGATGTACAACAGACTATGGATTCAAAGTTCAGTAATGGACAGGGTACATGAAGCTTATGGAACACTAGTACAATGGGATGAAACAGCGCAGAATCTGTATATGAACAGTGTGCAAATGAATACAGAGCAGTATCCTGTGAGGAGGAGAGATGAGAAGGGGTGAGATATGTGTAGTGGTATAGAGGAAGGCAGTGGGGGGGCAGAGGTCAGTAAGGAGACAGCTGTGTGGAAGAAGCTGTTCCTGAGTCTACTGGTTTTGGTTTGGAGGCTCCTGAAGCGCTTCCCAGAGGGCAGGAGGTCAAACAGTTTGTGAGCAGGGTGAGAGGAGTCCTTGAGAATGATGCGAGCACGTCAGAGACAGAGCTCCCTGTGGACACCCTCAATGGCTGGACGTGGAGTCCTTGTGACATATTGGGGAGTGTTCACCGTTTCATGTCAGTGTCATTAAAGGTTGGCCTATAAGCCACGCTTAATTTATCAATCAGAATCTCCACTATGCATCACAACAGGCTAATTTATTGCATACAAAGTCAAAATACACAACACAGCAAGGTGGTTACTTTACAAAGGTGCTGTTTAGCTTTATTAGCCTAACTTAACTCAGAGCTGTAGGGGAAAAATAAATGTGGCACACTCGGTTTTTGATTTACTTTAAAGAAAATTTGTAATACATCTGTGTTTTTGTGAAACCAAGGAACAGTTGGCTCAAGCATGTAGAAACGGGGGATTACTTATAGATGTTTTAAAGTTAAATGTATTTTCTAGTACTAACTGTGAATATTTATTTGTTTGTGCAAGCTTGAATGTTCTGATCCAGTAATTAAGGAGACTTTTGTAGGGCTTGTCATTATTTATTAAAAGCACACATCAATTATAGCATCACAACATGTGTTTGCTTATTATAATTAAGTTTTTGAACCTTGTAACTGTTTTACTGATATTAAAAAGAACCAGTCTTTCCTCTCTTGCTACAGCTGTGTAATTGCATAACTCTTTTCTTTTTTTCCTCCCTGTCGTCTTTCAGGAAACAAAAGATGAATTTTGGCCAGCGTTAGCTCCTCCCCATTCCTTTTCTCTCTCTCTCTGTCTCACACACACAGATTCTCTTTCTGCTTTCTCTCTCTTGCCTTCCTGCTCCTATAAATGCAGCAGTGCTTGCATTTGGTGTGTTTGTGCATAGTCTTTTTTTGGGGTGGGGGGTGTGGGGTGAGATAGTAAGACAGAGAGATTTGCTGTAATACAAAGTGAGGACAGGAGGGGAGGGAAGTAGCTAGAGACGGCAGGGAGGGAAGGAGAGAGGCAGGGAGGGGTGAGACAGAGAGAGCGGGTGAGCAAAGGGGACGGAAGGGAGGGGAGAGAGAGAGAGAGAGAGAGAGAGAGAAAAGAGGGGGAGCACATGTGTATGCTTGTCACTAAGGGGCTGGGAGAAGGACTAAGGGAAGCGAGGTAGCTGGCCACAGCCGCCATATGCTGACTGGATTCCTGTTCATGTCTGCTGAGTGAAGACTGTAGGTTTCTGTTTTGTGCTGGCCGGCTGTGGAACACACCATGGGAAGCTCACATCTCCTGAACAAAGGCATGCCTCTAGGTAAATAACTAGCACTCTGCTTTTATGTGGGGAACTGGGTATGTGTGTGTGCCAACATTTGTGAACTCAGTGTACATTATTCTGCCTTCCTCCTCCCCTCCCCCCCTTCCTCTCCCTTTTTCCGTCTCCTCCTCCTTCTCTTTTTAATTCTCTCACCCTATTATCTTTTAACTATTGCTCAGCTGTTCTCTCACCACAGAAGAATGGTTAGCCTTTTCTCCATAGCTTAGTGTTTGTGTGTCTGTCTGTGCGTGTGTGTGTGTGTGTGTGTGTGTGTGTGTGTGTGTGTGTGTGAGAGAGAGAGAGAAGAGGCAAATCTCTGCTATTGAAAGCTGCTTGAACACCTCCATTTGTGGTGACAGAAATAGATCTCTCTCCTTTGAAAGATAGCAAGCACATGACGCATATTTCCCTTTCATTGTGCTTCTTTTATGGAAGAGTGGGTGCCTGTACACACAAACTGATCATCTGCACACCCACACATATACATTAGAGACTCAACTGACATATTTAAGTACACACATGCACGTACACAGCCGGATTCACACACAGGTGACAGATGCACCATATAACAGGGGCTGGAAAAGACTATTCTAGAAAATGGGATCAAGGTAGCTGCTAGGAATAAGCAGTGGGGGTGGAGGGTGGAGGTTTGGGTGTGAAGCAGGAGGAGGAGGGTGTGAGGATAAATGTTCATCCACCTTAAAGCTGAATTAATGTATCTGTTATCACCTGAATTTGGATATTTGAAGCCATTTCTCCCAAAAGACACCAGAGACTATAATCTTTGATGTCATCAACAGGCTGCGGGCTGTGTTTCTTGATGACATCAAAGATTAAAGTTACAGCTCTGACCTTTTTCCTTCCCCCTTTTCCCCCTCGCTTTGGGAGAGATCTTCTCTGCCACAACTATGCCCTGACAGCTCGAGAGTCCAAGGTCATAGAAATAACTGTGAATTGCGGCACAGAGAGGTTTGCTCTTTTAAAATGCTCCTGCACAAATCAGTACCAGTCAATAATTGTGCCACAGATTTGATCGGTGGATCTGCTTCAGCACACTGTAAAGATCACTGAACTTATTCCGGCTTCTTTAAAACAGGTCAGTCATCCCTGGTGACTGATGGATGTGTTGATTCATGTTTGGGAAAGACAGGGGTTCTCTGATCCACGAGTCAGGTCAGATCTGACTCATAGGCCTTTATCAGTGACAGACACATGCCAGTCACTTCCTACACAGCTTGTAAAATCAGATTTTCAGATCAGACTTTGTCTAATTTGACTGGTGTATTTGATTTTATAAAACAATCTCACCAGCTGATTAAAAGGTAAAGAATAATGTGAATGTGTTCAATGGCTACAAGAATCCCTCCACAAGATTCCTCATAGATGTCTTATTACATTTAAAAAAATCAAGGAAACAGCTCATGCTGTGACATGTTGCCATCTTAGGAAAAGCACAACCCTATGTCACTTTGAAGTACTGTTAGTTACTGTAACAAGTCACTGACACCTCTAAAAGCAATGTTCCAGTTTTTATACATTTACATCTACATTGACCAACTTGTAAACACACATTTCCTTTATATTGCATAGCTGCAACTAACTACACCACTATCACAGATAAGATATTTAAATAACATATTTTACTTTAAGGGCTCATTAATCTGACTAGTAAAAAAAAGACACCTAAACATGTTTTACTGAAGACACTTTAAAGTGTGACATGTTCAGCTAGAGACTGTATAACAACAACCACTGAAAGACTTAGTCTCTTATAAAAGGGAAGCAACGGTGCAACATGTACCAACTGTTACTGTGATGTTGGCATTTTAAGAATGGGGCGAAACCAGTGAAGGTTGGCCAGTCATTTCCATTTAACTACACAGAAACAAATTATATTTGCATTATATTTGAAATGCTATTGAAAAAGAGAAATGTAATTGAGAAGGGCAACAGTCTAGACAGGTGGCTGTACAGGAAAAATACCAGGACTGCAATGTAAGATCCCAAAGCAGTCATTAATATGTAGGCTATAATGAAAAGCAGCCACTACTCAGAAACATTCATTATTGTTATGAAATTAGCAGTGTTAGATAAGTCTGTTCAGAGTAAGACCTGCAGCAGAAACAACTCATATCAGCTGGGAGACATGTAACAGGAACTCTTAGATAGCAGCCAGCAAGCTGGTATAGTCCTGCTGCTGGTGTCGCCACATGCAAATTTATAAACGTCTTTTGCAGTAGAAGGCTTGTACTTCAATATTTATTAAGTGACTATGATTTTACCAAATGGCTCAGACCAACAAACTTTTGTTTCATTGTTCAAAATCAGCACCTTGTGTTTTCATCACAGAAAAAATGGAAATGTGGTTGATTAAATGACCATATACTATAGGTCTGTAGATCCACTGTGGTCAATTTTATCTAGGCATAATACATATTCTCAGGTAGATATTTTGAGCTATTAACAACATATTATATATCAGCTTTCAAACAAACTCTAATAACAACAATATATGTGAAATTTAACAATTTTTATGCCTCCATGCCAGCAAAACCCCTGTGGGTCCTTGGACTCCAGTTTGGGAACCCTTAATCTAAATACACTTAATGCCTTATAGCCATAATAATCCATTAATGGGGCACATTCACTCCAGAGTATCCAAACTAAATAATCCAAGGAAACTGACATTTCCACCCTGTTGTAAAAATGTCTCTTACCCTCTAGTGTCTGATGCAGTGCAGGGGTTACCAGTGTATATCTTATATTAATATAGAGCTATGCTGTACTTACTGTAAAGCTGAAAATGATGCTTCCAACCATAACTGATCTCTATCTGCCTTCCATTTGCACATAAAAGCAAGTAGACCTGCATCATCACCCTGACTGGTGCCAAACAGTATTCTATCCCCTTGTCTGTTTTGCTGCTGGTGTCTCAGTAATGGGAACAAAAAGCTGACAAACCTGAATTGGCTTGTTGATACAGTACCTGCAAATTAAAGTCTTACACACCTTATGTGTGTATGTGTGTGTGAGTAAGGGAGAAGGAGAAAACCTGCACGGTGTGATTTTCTGTGTATGCATCTATACTGTGCATAAACACGTCAATCCGAATGGAATGCTGGGCTGAGTGTGCACCTGTATACCTGTGATGTGGGTGGGGCAGGATGTGTGTTTGTGTGTATGTGGATATGTGGAGAGAGGACTGGTGTTAAGGGATACATGTCTGTTTTCTCATGTTTCCTCCCTGCAAAAAGAAGTGTGGGTAGGAAAAGGCAGAAGATTAAAGGAAAGAATACAAAACTGCTGAAACGATAAAACGGCTGAAGACTTTGTACCTAAATATTTAGGCATTTTTAAACATATAAAATAGTGCAGATGTATAGCACAGCTTATCTCATTGCTGGAGAGTTGGATTAGACAGGAGAAAAAGGAACTGACAAGGGGCATAAAGAAAGCTCAGGGAAAAGAGACTGAAATGAGAGCTGGAGATCTGAAACTAAGGCTACAAGAGATGAAGGGATGGTGAGATCAACTCTGAGAGGGTGAAAGACGAGGATATAGGGGCTGTTTAAACCACGCCATGTTGCTGCATGCTACAAGAGCCAAAAACATTATATATCAGCTGTGCTTGATAAATGGTTGCTACGGTCGTAGACGGTACGACTAATCACAGGTGCTGGCAAGAATGCTCTGCCCTCTTCTGTTCTCACAGTAATAAATAAAAACACTGTAGCTGACTTAGAAATGTGTCATGTTCTTGTGGTTCATTTCCAGACACTGAAAAGAGATTTAATTCAGGAAGTCTGACTTTACTTGAGAACTGAAAAAACCTAAGAAGCAAACATTTAACTGCTGCTAGTTGTATGGGTATATTTGGCAAGAACTCTGTGGAGAACTGATGCCTGCTTTGATCTGAAATAGCTGTGAAAAGCTTATTTAGAGTCTAAGTTCTTCAGATATCTTAGTTTGTCTGTACAACAGTCTAAAATTCTTGCTGATTGTTTTTCTTATAGTCAACTAATGAATCTGTTGTTTTAGCTCTCTTTTCATCATGGAATAATGGGGTAAATGTTTTCTTGATGAATCATTAAATCTTTATACAAGGCATTATCAACCAAGGCTGGCAGAGTTCCCAGTGACCTATACATTTAAAACATATGATAGTCTGAAAACACTGTCTTGGTCTGCTGGGGCAAAAATCCAGCTGTTCTTGTAAGCCAGTCAGTGACAGCTGGATATGGGTAGGCTGCAGGGCTTTCCCACTGGTTCTCTTGCTGCAGTCCCAGCAATCACTGGCAGATGTTCTTTTTTTTGTTTGTTTTTTTTTAGCAATCACTGGCAGATGTTCTTTTTTTTTGTTTTTATCTCTAAATGTCAGACAAATGACGTTAGCATCATTTTGGTCAAATGACAAATTTTCACAGATGCAATTTTCATTTCATTTAGTGTGTCAGACTTGTAAGCACAAACTACACAGGCAGGGGTGTTACTCTGCAGATGGTTCTTGTTTTTAGTGAATGATTATGAGCAACAAAAGTTCATCTACTTTCATTTTTGAGGTTTCCTTGGCTGCAAATCACTACTAATGCACTGCTGCATTGCCTCAAATTGTGTACCAATGCAGTAGTGGATCTGAATCAGAGTGTAGACACAGAGAAACCCTGGATATATGGGAAGAGCAGAGCAAAGAGCTATGGCCCTGTTGGCTGTGAGGAGGCCTGTGTGCACAGTGAAAGCTCCCAGTAGTTACCTAACCCTGGGGCTCTGTCGTAAGTGGAGAGAGAGACACAGAGAGTGTACTGGAGTACTGAATATAATGAGAGAGTAGAGATGGATGAGGTTTTAGGAACTAAGCAGAATGAGAGGAAAGTCTGGGCAATTATTTAATATAATGAAGAATTTAATGAGTGTTTAATGTAATGGGAATGCGAGAAAAAATACTTTAAACTAAAAAAACTGGGAGATAATGGCCATTTTATATTGGTTCACTTTCGTAATTCAAGAAAGAGCAGGTTAATATTTACAAAGCTGAGCTGGAGGTTTGTGTGCGTGGGAGACAGACAGAGAGAATGGACTGCTGTTTTGTCATGTAGTAGTGAAGTACTACTCAGCAGTCAGTTGTGCCAGTCCTCCCAAGGTCATGCTTAGTGCTGGAATGAGAGCTATTTCCTCCCTGACTCTGACTAAATGTGAGTCGCAGAAATGTCTGGAATTCCTGTTACTTTCCAAAAATGCTGCTCTGCTGTATAACTGACTAGAATGACCAGATTTCCTTATTTTGTTCATTTGAACACCATATCTGATTAATTACAAGCCACATCTCTGAATCCCACTTTGTTTCTGTGTGTTTTTGCTCAAATGCAGTCTTGTACAGGATATGCCAAAATATTATACAGTGCAACACCTACATGCAAGCATGCTACGCATGATTACATCTACAACGCAGGCTATGCGGAAGCCTCAGAGTACTTTTTGCTCTTGTTGAATTCCAATTTTTCAGCTATGCGCCATTGATTTTGTATCGACGTGTTACTGCAATGGCCTCCAGGCAAATCCTATTATGGAAAGCTAATGTTTTACCAGGCCACATAAGGCCTTGTGAGCAGGATATGAGTTTCAACGTATTGCTCCGACTGCGCTGCGAGTCTGCTTCATCAGATCAAGTTTCATGCTGTAATCTGATGGATTAGGCTAAAATGTGAGCCATCTTTGCTTCAGTGCAACTTCAAAGTGCAGCAGCAACGCAGTCTTTTATCCTTGGATTTTGTTTTAACAGTGTAAGCACACAGGAAGTACTTTTATCTTCATACACTAAGGATCAAATGAGAGAATCACTGTCATAACAAGCTGTAAGAAAGTTTGGGGCAGAAATCAGGATTTTAGACATTTACCTCACACTCACATGCTTAAGAATAAAACAATACAGGAACTTACAGAAACTATTTCCAAATTAGCTTCTAAGATACAAATGGAGAATCAAGCTTGTAAATCTCTCAGCCACAGTGCAACCTAAAACCACATGCAACCAAAGCTAAATGTAGCCACCAACACTACTATAGGTACAAAAAATCAGTGTAAAGTCCCCTAATCCTACATCAAAACAGTAAACCTAGGATGTCTACTCGCTCACATACTGCTCTGCTGCTGCGTGATGCATGCAGGAAGTAGTATGTACATGCTACTTTAAAAAATATCCCATGAGTGGTGTTTCAATATATAACCCAGACAGAGTACAGACAACTCATTTCTGTTTTTTTAATATCAGTTCCTGAATACTTGTTTTGTGTTACACTACACTGAAGCGTACAACTAAAATGCTGGCATTCAGAGTATGAATTATCTCTCACTGCATCTAAACTGACTCAGTCAACAACCAGAGAAATGCACTGGAAGTCGGTGAGAAAGCCACCATAGTTTTAAGTCTAAGCAGTATGTTTTTAGCCAGGTATTTACTTTCTTCAACAATATTTCACATGAGAATAAGAAAATCATCCATCTGCATTGCCCAGGGAAGTTTATTACCGGTACATGCTTGTTTCCAGTAGCTCTCTCCTTTTTAATCATATTCCTTGAGAGCTTCCCTGTACAATGCAGTCCTCGCCTTGAGGTCAGCGAGCTGCTTCACTGGAGCAGACGGAAAAAAACAACTACAAAAACAGCTAATTTTAACAGGTCAAATGTGATGAGGTGATGTTTCCAGTGTAGCACCAATGATTTTGAATAGCTGTAAAATGTAAGGTGCTGAAGGTTAGATTTAAATGGCATCTTGCTATTTTGCACTAACACATAACAGTCACACAGGAAGAAATCAATCAGCTGCAGAAGGGATAGATGTACTCATTTCTCCAACAGGAGCTATGTTAGTGATGAAACCACAAGACATGATGCATTTGCAAATGCATTTCTCTTTCTAAAAGCTATATGCAACATGATCTCAAGATTGCCCAAAGGCATTCCAGGAAATGTGAACTCGTGAACTGAAGTGGAAATATGCAGTAGGTGAGGCAGTTTGAAGTACTAGAAAACAGGTGACTTACAATGCGTCATGACAAAAACACAAGTGATCATCATCAGAGACTAACAAAACAGTACGAGTATGATTCCAGCAGGACTTTTTCCTTTCATTTATTTTAGTTATGGGCCACTTAATGATAGCTGTTGAGGGAACAGAATTGCTTAGTTTCCTGGCCCAAGCTAATTTGTGGGATTGGAGCTGCCAAACGTCTCTGCACAGCCCTGATTCTCAAGGATCCTTGGCATTCAAAATATTGTAGAATGCTGACTTTGAAATTGCAGACTTAATGATTCTGCTTCTTTCTCATGATGTGAGCCCACACTACTGGAAAACAGGCTCCATCTGGATGTGCAAGGCACAAAATATAGTTTTCAGAGGAGGAGGAATATTTTGAGTGATATGACAGAGGCAGTCGTTTATTTAAGATGTCAGCTCAGTTCAGCTCTGATGGAAAAAGTCAAGAATGAGTGATGAGTGGAGTCGGCATTAGGAGAAACAGGCATCACTCTGCACTTTTTTCATCCACCGTGTTTTAGAGGGCTGTCAAAACTTTACATGTCACAGACCCAATTATATATACTGCCTTAGATTTTTCTCTCAGACTACATCTGTCCATCTTCAGATGTGTTGGTTCTCAGACAGATCCAGGAAGACAGAAAGCTAATAAATCCAGCTCCCATCGACCACTATTCTGTTAAACCTGAACAAAGGCCCACTAGCTAGGGCTTATCTGCCCAGTGTATCTGCCTTGATAAATGCCACTTATCCTCCTATATGACTGGGCAGCACTCTCAGGATAATGGCTTAATCTGAAGAGATGATTTAATAAAACATCCTGTGGAAACCTTACAGGGTGGGGGTGGTGTCACTTATTGACAGATTTCAGCTCCTGCCTGTCTCTAATGACAGCTCTCACTCCATGTAAACTGCTGTACTTACTTGGCCACCTGTCTGACTTTTATCATGTTCAGTGTCCGTTTTATGGTTTATGAGCTATGAAATATCACATTTTTGCTGCATTTTGATACAATTAATACTACATTTGAACCACCATAGGTATTAGACAATTGAAATATAATCTAGAGCTTCAGGCTGCATGGTAAAGTCCACCCCATTATTCCCAAGTAAATGGACCCAAGAATCCCTCTTAGTGGTCCACAGAGGCTAGCACTTAACGTTCACCATGAATGTTTGAGAATTCAACTAATGTGAACAGGAAGAAATACAAGAGGATACTCCTGTGTTATGGTGTTTTGTCTCATAATTTTTTAATTCTAAAAGGATATTCTGATTGTTTTGAGGGCAAGTTTGGTTTTGTACCTACAGCATCTACAGCATCCAACTTCCCAATTAGGCCTGTTTCAAAGAATCAACAAACTTCATCAAACATCAGTAATAATTCAACTGAAACCATACAAATTTTGAAAGTAATAAAGAGAAAACCAACTGTGAAACATCACCTCTCACAACAGGAACGAGCAGTGCAGCACATAAACAGCTGCTCGGGGAATGTTTTTGTCATGGTTGTCATAGCAACACCATCAGTCTGGAGCAGAAACATTATGGGATGCAGATGAAGCAGGACCTCATCTGTGCTCAGGAGCAACAGCATATCATTAGTTTTAGATTTCATAAGTGACAAAAATCCACAACTAAAATTAAAACATACACAGTAGAGGGAAAACAAAGGTCCTGATTTCCCGATACAGGATTCCTAATGACTCTGAGGGAGACTGCGACTGTTCACCATGACAATAAAAAATTATGCTGATCAAATGTAATTCTACACTGCCCCTGACAATGGTGACTACTTTGGGTCCATGTATTCTTCATTGCCACTTTTATTTTGCCCATCTATCACTTTTTATTTCTTTTGTTTTGTGTGTTTGAAGGCATTAGGCCACCGATCATGAATGGGCCCATGCACCCGCGTCCCTTGGTGGCACTACTGGATGGGCGCGACTGCACTGTGGAGATGCCTATCCTGAAAGATGTAGCAACTGTGGCCTTCTGCGATGCTCAGTCCACACAAGAGATCCACGAGAAGGTAACGCTCTAACCAGATAATGTACACATGCTTTGTAGAGTCCACAGCACATGTGTGAACTGTCCCCGACAATATTCCTTGCTTTTGTGAAACAGTGAGAGTTGTAGACATCATCTAGGGTAGAAAGAGGCTGGCCGACAATTTCCTGGACTGTCTTGACCACTCTCTGCAGCCTCTTCCTGTCTGCTTCAGTGCAGCTGGTGTACCACAGAGGAATGCAATATGTCAGCAGGCTCTCAATACAAGATCTTTAGAACGTCTCCAGCAGCTTGGTATCCAGGTTATTCTTTCTGAGCACTCTCAGGAAGCTGGGCCTTCCTGGTAACTGCTGAGGTGTTTGTAGACCAGGAGAGGTCTGCAGAGATGAGATGCCAAGATACTTAAAGGTGTGAACCCTCTCTACACAATCGCCATAATAAAAATCTCTAGCACTCATCTCATGCATATTTTAAGATGTGCTTGTCTTGACTGACAAATCAGCATTATAAACATACAGTTTTCAAATCAAGCTCCTCTTCAGTGCACAAATTTTGATTATTTTTTATTTTTTTTTGCTTCATTAATTGTAAAACATTTGGCACCATGCAGAAAATTCTACTTCAGGCTTGAAATCATCCTTTGACAAATCTGTGAGGCAACAGATGCTGCATCCATGTTATCTATCTTGTTGACTGATAAGTAAGCCGACTTCATCTGGAAAAATGACAGATTTTGCCAAATTCAAATGATATCACTCACACCATCGTTATGACCAGTGACTGAAACAAAGCTGTCAGCCTGCGGTGAAGCTATGGAGTCAGTGAAATCAGGAATTTCAGGCTGCAACAGTATGTGCCACTTGATGGCAAGGAGTACAGAAATGTCAGCAAACCTGTAGCAAAATAGCTGCAAAGCCACCACTGCTAGCAGGTAGTGTACATCTAACACAATATTAAAACTAATACATCAGCTGATTTAAGAGGCGTAAACATGGTTTCTTTGTATATAGTTTCATTATTAACAAACCAGTATGAATGCATCTCAAAGTATCTATTTGAATAATGTAACTAAAAGGATAGCAGTGGGAATAATGAGGAAAAGCTCCCAAGTTGGAATCCTGGAAGATTTTTCTGTTCTTCCCGTTCTCCCAACAATGTATTTGTGCACTGTTTGCACCTGGGATATCATCAGAAAAGGAGGATCTAGATGTATCAAAACAATATTGGCTGTGCATTTAGGACATGAAACCATTAACATTTCATAGTTACAAAAAGATCACCTGAAACAACACAAAATCAAAGATAAAGATAAGTCAAAGAGAGAAAAGAAGATAAATGAATTGGAATAAGAAGAGTACAGACTGCAATCCTTAAAATGTGGGTCAGGATCTTGCCACAGCCACTATGGATTGTAAATGGGTTTGTATGTCTGGCAGGGTTATGTCTTGTTCTGGTTGCCTGCCAGGCACACTCTCTCTGTGAGCACGCTCAGTAGGCCACAGCGTGGGAGAAACAGATGGCGCTCGCTCACTCAGTAGCTGTCTCCAGCTATCTCTCTCTCTGCCTCTCTTACTGTGTAATTAAAAAAGCTTTTTTTATTGCAATTGAACTGCATGTCATTTTCAACCTCTCTCATGCACATTAAGAGGATTGGCAATGTTAGAAAAAGATTGTAAAATTAACTGAGAATCATTTAAAAGATGACAGCTGATGATGAACTGGTTTTCACTGAGCCATATATTCCTATTCTATATGATAATCTAATTTTGAGTCACAATATTTCATTGTCAATTAAGACAAAAACCCATCTTCCTGATAAGAATCCACTGAGAATCCATGGAAATGAGACTCTTGCTGATATTTGTTTAGTTTTGGCAGATTCAGTCACCTCATTTCACTTCCTGTTATTATAAATGCTTAGGTTAACTAGTAAAATTCAGGAAATGCAGCTATTCCATGTAGGCAGCAATATTCAAACACATATAAAGATAATGTACACGTTATGGTTAGCCCCCCTCACCAGGAGGGTGAGGGAGAACTGGGGTTGGACTCAAGATAGCTGACCCAGGTGCTAGTACAAAAAAAAGGTGGTTTATTGGAATAAATACAAACAAAGTGACAACATAACAGGGTCCATAATACTTACAACCAGGGAAGGGCAGTGATAACTAAGGAGACCAGGACGAACAGGTAAACACACAAACTAATGGCAGGAAACAGGGGAAGTATTGTCCATAACATATAGCAATGCTCCGGAGACGAATCAAAAATATGTAGTGTAGTGGGAATTAGCGTAGCTCGTAGGTAGTGTGGTAGAGTCAAGCCAAAACGCACAGTGTCTGTCAGCGTAGCATTCTACCAACATGTACAGTCCGCGTTACTATGTTAATGTTCCGGCCAAGACGGAGCGTCTACCAGAGGTTTATATAAGGAGGCGAAGGTAATCATCGGGATGCACCCCAGCTGTGTGCATCGACAAACCAGTTGCTAATTACTGGAATGCAACACAGCTGAGGTGCAGAGCCCACAGGATAGAGAAAGCAGAGAAAAACGAAGTAGAGGCAGCGGCCGCCGAGCAGCCCTGACAGTAAATAGCACCTACAGAAAAAAAAGCTGTGAAGATAGTGAACTGTAGCTGCTGACACTCACATTAAAGTGATTTTCCACAAAGCCACACTTGATTTGTGCTCACACCTATGCTCACACATACTGATAACTTGACCTTTACTCTTTGTCCAAACAGTATGTATATATGTTCAGATGAAGCACTCCCCTTTTGTCCTGCAAACAGACATACTGTATGTGCAATTTCCAGTTTTATGTTAATGTACAGACAGGGGTTAAGAAAAGCTGCACAGATTTTCATCCATGCATCCATTTTCTTCCGCCTGAGATCGGGTCATGGTGCAACAAGTTCAGCAAGATAATCCAGATCTCCCTCTCCCCAGCAACATTTTCCACTTCCTCTGGCAGGATTCCAAGGCATTCTCAGGCCAGATGAAATATTATAGAGGTTACCTCTCCAGCGTGTTCTGGGTCTACCCTGGGGTCTCCTACCAGTTGGACGTGCCCAGAAAACCTCCAAAGGAGGGGCACCCTGGAGGCATCCTGATAAGAACCACCTCAACTGGCTCCTTCTGATGTGAAGGAGCAGCCTTCACATGGGAACAAGACCCTGAGATACTTAAACTCCTTCACTTGGGGCAGCAACTCACTTCCAACCCAGAGGGAGCAGTCCATCGTTTTCTGGAAGAACACACTGACCTCAGACTTGGAGGCGCTAACCTTCATCCCCGCTGCTTCACACTCAGCTACAAACCACCTCATTGCGTGCTGGAGGTCGCGTATGATGAAGCCAGCAAAACCACATCATCAGCAAATAGCAATTCTGAGGTCCCCAAACCAAACACTTTCCTCCCACTGGCTGCGCCTTGAGATCTAGTCCACCACAAGATTGCTGACAAGGGACAACCCTGACAAAGGCCAACACTAACTGGGAACCTGTTTTGACTCTCACTCCGTTCACACAAGTAATGAATAACTCCGGTACCCCATACTCCTGAATTACCCCCCACAAGATCTCATAAGGGACCCTGTCGTAGGCCTTCTCCAAGTTCACAAAACACATGTAGACTGAATGGTCAAACTCCCAAGATCCCCCCAGTAACCCTGCAAGAATAAAGAGTCCATTGTTCCACAACCAGGACAGAATCCACATTGTACCTCCTGAATCTGAGGTTCAACAATTGATTGGAGCCTCCCTTCCAGCAGTCCGGCATAGGCTTTCCCAAGGAGGCTGAGTAGTGTGATACATCGATAACTGGAGCACACTCTGTGGTCCCCCTTTGTAAAAATGGGACCCACCACGCGAGGCTGCCAGTCCTCAGGGACTGTCCCCATCCTCCCTGAGACATTAAAGAAGAGTGTCAACAAAGACAGCCCAGAGCCTTCAGCAGCTCAAGGCAAATCTCATCCACTCCTGGCCTCTTGCCACCGAGGAGCTTTTTGGCAATCTCAGAGACCTCTGTCAGCATTTAACGTTCTAGCATTTAATTAACTGTGTGTTGTGTTTGCATTCAGGTGCTGAATGAAGCTGTAGGAGCCCTGATGTACCATACCATCACTCTGATGAGAGAAGATCTGGAAAAGTTTAAAGCTCTGCGCATCATTGTACGCATTGGCAGCGGATACGACAACATTGACATCAAATCTGCTGGGGAACTGGGTGAGAACACACACGCACACACAGGACGAAAAAGTGTGTACAAGTAACATCATACTTCACTGTTACAATGTCCATATCCTTATAATCCTGTAAGCGTTGAAGGCATTAAAAATAAGTTCATCACTGGCAAACAATTAATCTACTGAAGCAACAATTGTGAGGTGAACAGTACAAATCCAGCTTTCAGTTTACAAAGTAGAGTAGTAATCTACTACATCTACTACAAACATGCTTTTCCACATATTTAATAACTTGCTGCATTCTGTTGCTGCCAGTGTTGAACAAGGTTTAATGCTGTTGTCAAATGACCCTTGTTCATTTCACCAGAACAGATAAAAGGTAGTTATTAGGGATTGTTTACTGTGTGTCCGATGGATTCAAAAGAAAACTAGAATTACTGCTTCACGTATGCCTCAGCCAGCCATTATAATTCACAGGAATGGTGCAGATGCGAGGTCACTGTCACTTTGACCTATGACCACCATAGTCTAATCAAGTCATGCTTGAATGGATATTAGGGCCAAATTTTGAAGAAATTCCTGAGATATCACATTCCTACGCTAATACAGAGAATTGTTCCAAGTAGTTCAAAACAAAAGGTTGCTTTTCTTATTTCCTAAATGAAACTGTCACATTTAAAGACATATCATCAGTTAACGACCAATATGGCTTATATTTTAACTTTTAAGATAACAATAACAGCTTCATATAAATATAATTTGTCATAAGTGTAACATACTCACTCACTAATTTAGCTACTGAAAAAACAGCCAGTCTCAGCTAGCCTTTTCTTTAATTGTAACTACATCTGTATGCTTGTTTTGGTTTTATTTTTATGTGCTCTTAATTGTTTTATTGTAGTTTTCCTGGTTTGATGAATGAAGCATTTTTACTGTTTAATATGTTGGCTTTACTGTTAAACTCTTAAATTGTTACAGACATAAAGTGATTATTTTCAAAAAAACCTACATTTTCTTTGCTTCCACTGATCACTGCCATGTTTAAAAGTCAGTCAAGCATTTATGTATTTTGAATTTTTTACTCATGTCTTTTCTACATCAGCCAGCGCTCTATTAATATCTTCTTTCACCAAGATTCTCTGCCATTTGAAAGCTTCCAGTGGTGTTTGAGGAGAAAACTGCTGACACAGAATATGAGGATAATATAAACAACCCCCGCAGAAATGCCTTCAACTTGCACTTTTCCACCAAAACGGCTTTCACCAAACCTTATCTACCTCCTTTAATGGCCCAAAAAGCTGTTCCTAATCCTTATCTGCTCTCTGGTCCAACAGGCATAGCTGTATGTAATATGCCAGCAGCCTCAGTGGAGGAGACAGCAGACTCCACGCTGTGCCACATCCTCAACTTGTACCGACGCACCACCTGGCTGCACCAGGTTTGGAGCCTTGTGTTGCTGTTAAAAGAGACAGAAATGCACTGAAATTAAATGAGCTGATTCTGAATGTACTGGTTGGAGGCGTACGTTTAGCTGTCAAAATTTTAGTTTCGACAGTTACTAATAATTACCTAATGGAAAATCAGCAAAACTGAAACATTTCATTTTCTTTAGAATGTTGCTGTATCTGAAAGACGCTGATGTAAGATGTAGAAGGTACAGTTAAATGACTTGTTCCTCAAATCAGTTATTAGTAGTAATTATTATCCAGACATATCTTATAATTATGATAATATCTAAAAGGATTTAAACTGTGGTCATTAAGTGACAAGTCCTGACATTTCACAATACACCTGGATCACGTTAAATTGCAATATTTGTGTTTTTTGTGTCATATTTAATTGCACCAATGCATTCTTATTTATGCCAGGCTCTCCGGGAGGGCACACGTGTTCAGAGCGTCGAGCAGATCCGAGAGGTGGCGTCAGGTGCCGCAAGGATCAGAGGAGAGACTTTGGGACTCATAGGGCTCGGTGAGCAATACCTCTTCACTGAGATCTATTATACTGGCATACCACTGTGGAACAAAAGTTATTTGTTGATCATATTGCCTGATATGTAGCATGGTTAGACCATCAGGTTGCTGCCAAGGAAAACCACTCAAGTTACTAATCACTGGGCATTTTTCTCTCTTTTCCATTTCCATTTTTGGGAGGCCCTTAGCTCAGCTAAATTGGCTTCACAAAGAGTTACTGTCATTAAAAGGAAGTGGATTAAACCAGAAGCTGAATGTAAATCTCTTCTCTGAACAGTCTGAAACTCTGCAGTAATGAGCAGCTCTGTGTAGCCAGAGCATTGTGTAATTGATAAAAGGCCAAAGTCAAAAAGGGGATTATTAGATGTGCAAAAATATTAACTGTTGTGTTTTTATGTTCCTTTTTAGTATGTATTCATGTGCACATCTCTCCAGTTTTAGCTTCCCTGCACTGGTTACCTGTTTATTTTAGGGTTCATTATACAATTTTACTTTTTGTTTTTAAATCCCTTCATGGCTCTGCACCACCTTATTTATCTGAATTGCTTCACTGGCACACACCCACACGTTCTCCGAGGTCAGCAAATCAGCTTCTTTTGAGCGTGCCAAGAACAAAGCGTAAGCTTAGAGGCGACCGGGCCTTTGCGGTCACTGGGCCCAAACTTTGGAACGATTTACCGCTGCCTGTCAGACAAGCTTCTTCTTTGTCTGTTTTTAAGTCTCTTTTAAAAACTCATTTATTCTCGTTGGCATTTTGATATTTTATTTTGGTGTTGATTTTATTTATTTTTATTGATTCATGTTTTTATATTTGGTGTCGATCTTATTTGTGCTTGTGGGTTGTGTCTTTGATTTATTGTTTATTGTAATGTACAGAACTTCAGTCCACCTTGGTTGTTTTAGTGCTTTATAAATAAAGTTGGTATGGTATGGTATGGTATGGTATGGTATGGTATGGTATGGTATGGTATGGTATGTGTATGTAATTAGTCTAAATGCTCCTGTGTGTGCATTCATGTGTTTCTAGGTCGGGTAGGCCAGGCTGTCGCCCTGCGAGCCAAGACCTTTGGCTTCAGTGTGATTTTCTATGACCCTTACTTGGCTGACGGGGTAGAAAGATCCCTGGGACTACAAAGGGTCACCACACTACAGGTAGCGCACACACACTGGAGTGTGAATGGGGCCAGTTTGCTTCTGTGAAATGAGTAACTACGTCACTGTTTGAAGCACTTGTGTGTTTTGTGAAAAGAAACATGTTTATATTCACAAGCGGTCCTTCTATACCTGTGCAAGTCTAGTTTGTAGCATGGTCATTTTCACTGACTTTCACTATCAGACACTAACAGGAATGCAATGAGGCCATCAAAGAACTAGAAAATCAATCTTCACTGTTTCCTTTAAAATAATTTAGGTTGTCTGTGTTAATTAAAAATGGTAATGTAGCGGATACGGTTACGCCTAGTATTTATTCATAAAGACCAAAGTAGATGACAGCAACCTCAGTGTTCTTAACACTTTTTATTTGCTTTTGAGACTCACACTACTTTCAAACGGGGATGATGACTGTTTTAATTAAGCTGCTCTGCACATAACCGCTAGTATCAGCAAAATACGTCTACCATTTCAGCAATATTTAATTGTCACCACCATTTCCACTTAACACCTACTAGGATTTTAACCTATAAGAGCACAGCACTAACACAACATTTTATCTGATTCAGACTTAATCTTCTTTTTACTCCATTGTCTTTGCTAACAAAGCTTTCGCCACCATCCACCATGACAACTGAGTATTTAAGGGCTTGCTGCACACTTGAAGTATGTGGCAAGAGACGCACCCTCTTGTGCTCATTGTCACTGCAACAATGCGTAACAAAAGATATTTCAGATTTTCTGGTATATACAGTAGCATCAATCTATTGTAATTTGGCTGCTGTGACGTGCGTGCACATGTCAGCAGTAGTTTAAAGTGTAAAGAGAGGAATGGGACTTATTGGCACTTCAATCTCTCTTCCTCCTCAGGACCTGCTCTTCCACTCTGACTGTGTCTCTCTGCACTGTAGCTTGAACGAACATAACCACCACCTGATCAATGACTTTACCATCAAACAGGTAGGGGCACAACAGCCCACACACGTGCACGCTTATGACTGAGCAGATACACACAAATGATTGAATGATTTATTTATCCCTACATCACATACTGCATCTCATGGCTATGTGGGTACCCAGGGAAGCCCACTATACAAATACTATATGAAAGTGCACATGTATTCATATATATGGATATAAAAATTTTACCTTTTTTTTATTTTAAAAAGACTTGAATAAATGATGATTATACCATTATACTTATTATATGTGTGCGTTTGTGTGTTAAAGATGCGTCAGGGCCATCCTGGTTACCACGGCCAGGGGGGGTCTGGTAGATGAGAAGGCCCTGGCTCAGGCCCTGAAAGAGGGGAGGATACGTGGCGCTGCTCTGGATGTTCATGAGACAGAACCGTTCAGGTAAGAAACCTCATAATTTTTGCCTGTAGATTAATGTTGGGACAGGATTAACTGGCGTCTGCTAATTCTAATTTCCACATCTGAATGTATAACTAGTCAGCAGACAGTAGATAGATGGTAGTTTTCTTCTTCAGAGAGGAAGAACAGTGTAAAATACTTGTGGTATATAATATATAATAAGAGGGTGCTTAATTCTAGTGTCTGGGGAATCTTTTATAAATGTAAACTGTTGCAGCTCAAGAAAATGTGAATTAGAAAAAAACAAATTAGGGCTGAAACTGACTAACCATTTTTCATTATGTTAGAAAATGTGTAGAAAAAATGTCAGAGTCCAAGCTGACACCTTGTTTTGCTTGTCCAGCAGTCCAAAAACAAGTTATAATAATAATAATTATTATAAAATCATACTGTATACTGTACATAACACATTTTTAAAATGCACTAACTATCATAGATGATAATGATAAATGATAAGAAAAAACTATATACCTTAAGTGTGGGAGATCTGTAATTCAGAGGTTAAAGACACCTAAAATACACAAACGATAAATTATAACAAAAATCAGAATGTGTCTGGAAGTGCCAGAGGTGTGTGTGTGTGTCTGTGTGTGTGTGTGTGTGTGTGTGTGTGTGTGTGTGTGTGTGTGTGTGTGTGTGTGTGTGTGTGTGTGTGTGTATAAAAATGAGCCACGCTTGAAATTTTACATGGAGTTAAGCAGTTGACGTGTGCTCAGTGATACATATAGTATATTCTCAGCTGTAACTCTGTTTCTTTGTGCCAGTTTCAGCCAGGGCCCCCTAAAGGATGCCCCCAACCTGATCTGCACCCCGCATGCTGCCTGGTACAGTGAACAAGCATCACTGGAGATGAGAGAGGAGGCAGCCAGGGAGATCCGAAGGGCTGTCACAGGTAGCGTGCACACACTCACACATACACAGTCATGGACATACACATGGTTTGATGGAAAACATGACCCCTGCTGAAGAATGTAAACACATGTCTAAAGAGAGATATTTTTAGGTATCCTGCTGCAGTTCAGCATAAACCATCCGTGCTATTCTTTCAGCAAAGGGAGATTTAAAGGCCTTTCTCTGTCTGCCTCCTTTCCTTTCCAACTTCTCTCTTGTTATGTTCTTTCGTTTTCAAATTCTTTCTCTTTCCCATTTTCTTATCTTGTGGTTTCCCCTGTGGCTTGGTCTGTTTACCACTGGCCTGTTCTTTGTGTCTGTGCAGAAAGTAAGACAGCCAGATAAAGAAGAATAAATCACACCTACTCTTTAACACTAACTATTCCCTCAGCGTGTTGTACTATGCCAGAATATTTTTTTTAACTTTAGCACTTTACACACATTTCCCTCTCTCTTTTTTTTTTTGCTCCATCTCTCTGTTTTCCAGGTCGTATCCCAGACAGTCTGAAGAACTGTGTAAATAAAGATTTCCTCACTCAGAACAACCACTGGGCAGGAGTTGACCCAGCTGCCGAGCTCAACGGAGTTTATAGGTAACAACAAACCTGTAGCAGTCAGTGCAGTTTGATTTTTTTTTTCTAAATCCTGATCAAGTCACAGACTTATACATACGTTTGCCAAATCAGAAACAGAATTTGATACTACAAATGACAGCATGTTTTATTTCATTCTCAACTGTAGTGTTATATACAGCATGTTATTATTCCCTTGTTTAATGGCCAGTTACTGACCACACAGCTTAATAATCCCATTGTTATTCTTTACTGAATATTTATGGGACAGTGTCTCTGTATGTCCATAGCTCAGCCAGCAACACATCATGCATTTATCAGCCAAGTAAGTAAATAAGTAAGTAAGTAAGTAAATTTTATTTATATAGCACCTTTCACAGACAGGGTCACAAAGTGCTTTACAAAGTCAAAGGATAAAAAAAGATAAATAATAAACATAAAAAGTACTCACAAAAGTAGTGCTACATACAGTCGTCTACAGAAATGTACAGTTGCTACAACCGCACCCTACCATCATCCACCAATACCTCAGTGACCTCAACAGAAAACAAATGTCAACATCAAGGCACAGCTTGCATCTTTCCTCACTTTTAACTGCTTGTTCTTTCATCTGTCAGTCAGTCAGTCACTTGGGATGTTAATAGTTGATCTGCAGTACCAGTATGAGGGCAGATCAAGACATTTTAATAGATTGATATTGCTGACGTATTAAAATACTACAGGGCCATATATAAAATATTATGGGGGAGTGTTAAAAGAAAGCTTTAATGCAGGCTATAATATATCTCAGATTTCTGCCAGCACCCTAATAGAGGTTAATGGAATGTTATTTCTGATGCTCATCAATATTAAATGACTTTCCTCTGAAGAGAGAGCCCCTATAACAACTGACAAATTGCTATCCAGAGTAATAAGGGCACTGCTTCTGGAAAAAGATGGTGCTGATTAGTATTTCACATTCAAGCACCACAAATAAATCTTCATTGCCATTTCATTTGTTCTTTTATGACTCAGCTGTGTGGCTTGTTCCCTTCAGGTTGGTGGAGAGTTCCTGCCTCAAGTGGAGGAGTTCAAGTATCTTGGGGTCTTGTTCACGAGTGAGGGAAGGATGGAACGGGAGATTGACAGGCAGGTCGGTGCAGCTTCTGCAGTAATGCGGTCGATGTACCGGTCCGTCGCGGTGAAGAAGGAGCTGAGCTGTAAGGCGAAGCTCTCGATTTACTGGTCAATCTACGTTCCGACTCTCACCTATGGCCATGAGCTTTGGGTCGTGACTGAAAGGGCAAGGTCCCGGATACAGGCGGCCAAAATGAGCTTCTTCCGCAGGGTGGCCGGGCGCACCCTTAGAGATAGGGTGAGGAGCTCC